CCCCCCCCCCCCCCAACACACACACAAACTAAATAAGAAGTGAAGGAGTTTGGCAAATGTTTGTCTTGATTCTGATATGGTTGGCTTTAAAACCCCCAAATTACCACTATATCATATTCAGATAAAACTCAGTGTCTTCAGCAGCAGATGATGTCCTAAAACTAACCCTAACCAAATTAAAGTCTTCTGTAAATAGAAGCCTAGCAGACCAAGGTTACTAACATGGCTTTGCAGCACTTTTTCCGAGGCTTGTAATATGTATGTTTTCCTAACCCAGGCAGTCAAGCTGAAAGTTAGACTGCTAGGCAAAGGCCATGTGTTCTGCTTGGAAAATGTATACACTACTAAATATTTTTTGCATGCACTGTGTGAGCTACCTTTAAAAGTGAGGTCACTGTGTAACAAGTATGGGAGTTTCAAAATATGTTGGGTGGTACTGCAAATAAGTTGTGTTAGCTGCTCAGATCTTTGTGTGAGAATCTGATGTGCACTTTCATTATTTGTCTCACACAGAGAAGTGCCCTTGCCTATGTCTGCTTCATATTCATTGAAGTGCAGAAGATTCCAGTTATTTGTGAACTTCTGATTATATGCCAATTATTATTCAAAAAGATTGCCTGCCATCACAGAGGTTTTAAGCTAAGAGTCAAGCTTAGTATATGCCACACGTTTACTGTAACTTGGTTGAGCTACCCAATTCCTAGTCCTGTGGAGAGATCCAACAGGGTCTTATTTCATTGACTGTTCTAAAGTTTGGTCAGATGATATCAAGTTCCTGTGAGATGAGCAACCTGTATATCAACTAATAGATAGATCTCATCAGGTATGTACCATGACAATAGACTATCAAGCATGCTGTGTTAATCTACTCCAGATCAAGTACAGCCATGGTCTTGGAGAAATGCTAATTTACAAAAGAAATGTGGCTTGAATGACAAAAGAACACAATTTGTTTTAGATTTTCATCCATTTATAGCTTCATACACTGGGGTGTGGCATGACATTACATGATGCATCAGATGGCACAGGATGCCATGACAAGTTGCATCAAATGGCACAGAATGTCATATTGTGCCATGAGTGATGTATCATCTATGAAAGCACAACAAATATCACCACAATGTGAAGTGTTGTAATACAATAAAAATAGTGAAAACAAAGTTTTTGGACGATTGAAGCTATCACCCTCAGTTTGGATCCAAATTACTCATTCTGAAATCCTTGGTAAACCTGTGTGGACTGAACATTAGGGTAAAAAAACCAAAAAAAACCCCAACAACAACAAAAAAAACAAAAGCAGTCTTCCTCTACTGGTGTAATGAAGCATTCACAAAATTCACACAGTAGGAGAGGACGTCACAGCATTTCTAGTTTAAAATGTATGAAAATGTCTTGTTTAAAGTAAAACAAAGAAAGATATCAAGAGAGGGTCTCAAAGACTTCTATTTCCCTAGTCTCTATGAAATTCAGGAATGTTTACTAATTATTTATCTACTCAATCCCCACATCTACTTTTACAGCAACACCATTAAATGTAGACAGTGCTATCTGAGATCACCCTCTGGAACTTCAGTGTGTCACTGGTTTATGGAGGCAAAAAGGTCATAAATTATTGACCCTATTTGGATTAGAGACACCAGCCAGATGGTCCCAGATGTATATTATACAAATGGTGACTTCTCGAAGACAATTCAATCTAGTTATTTAAGTTAACATGCTAGTCCACCCTTCCCCTCCACTCGCACAAGGGAAAATATGAACCCCATAAAATGTTTTTTTTTTAAATGTAAAGCTAGCAGCAGATGAGAACTTAAGGCTCTAGACAAGCAATGTTCCCCCTTTAAACAACTCTGTCCACTCCTTCCATGAGAAAAATAGGAGAATCTTGTTACCCATCTTGTTGACCTAAAGTCTGCAGCTCTGCAGTATGTATATTATGATGAAGGAAAACATTTTTCCTGCTGTACATGTGTAAGGAAATTGGTCCCCTTGGAGGCTGTCCGAGTCTTCCTGTAAATGTGGAATGCTGCCGGGGTATAGTAGTCTGATCCTTTGGAGCCCCTGAAAATACAGGGAAGTTTTCTGCCTTGGGTGTTGGCTTTACTGTATTTTGCGCAGTGTTGGCCAAAAGATTCTGGGTGATATTAGAAGTGAGGGTTTCATATGTGCTTCTTGTGTGCTTAACGACTTCCGCTATTTCTTTATCTTTCAGGAGGTTGCTCCGACACAGATTTGACAGCTGACAGCTTTTGGTCTCGTAGGCAGTTGCTTGGTTGCCCGATGAATATCTAAAAGGGTCCTCGGTGGGAGTATGTGCTGATTTTCTGTCCCTTGTGTTGAGATTTTGGATCGTAATTCTGTTTAGATATGTAGCCTGGAGCAAAGAAAACAGAAATGAAAAAAAGGCATTAGCAACAGAACATATTAACACTAAAACAGCACACAGCATGCAACGCACTCCCAGTAGCATCTGCAGATAAGCAACAGACTAGGCATTCACTGCTGCTTGATTAAAATGAAAGACAAATCTCAAATGTTAGCAGATCTCCCAAGGCACTGCTAGTGTAAAATTGAAGAATTATTCATTTATAGTTAACAAAACAACTTTGAAAAGCATTTATTTAATATATTGAATTTGGGAATTTGCTTTAAAAACCTAGTTAAATTGAAAAGGCAGATTCTTTTAGGGAGGAATAGATATATAGGGAAGCCTCATGACTTTTAAAACAATTTGTTTTGCACTTGTCTTAGTTAAAGAAATGATAGTTTTGGTTCTAGAAAGCTAAATCTAAATCCTTTCAGGCATTATCTATGAAATGAAAAGAAAACAAATTCTAAATAACTTTACATTGCTGTTAAACTCAGAACATGCTAACATTACATGTGTGAGTACTCCTGTTGAAGTCAATTTAGATAGTTCCTTATCTGCATGAAGTTAAATGCATACTTAAATGCTTTGCTGAATGAGGGACTTAAAGATACAAAATAAGGGGTGTTTCAGCATATCAGCATTTATCATATTGTTTAGGGACAGAAATTACTCATAAAATGGTATAAGTGATCAGTAACTGGTTCAAATCTGTAACACAACAGAAGTTCAGTGCACATAAAGGGCATTTATACATGTGCTCCTGGAAAAGCGGGGGGCACTTTAATTAGAGCAGCTCTGAGAGCCACTCTAATTAAGGTGCCTGGGAGCATGTCGTGTATCAGTGTCCACACACTTAAAAATGGTGGCAGGGTCACTTAACTAAAGCTTGCTCAATGAGCTTTAGCTAAAGTGCCCCCACCACCACCATTTTTAACCATGGGGATGGTGATACGCAAGATGCTGGAGTCTGCTGGAATGTGATAATTATCATGCTCTAGCAGACTTGATTAATCGAGCCTGCTCCAATGCACTATAATTACAGCATGTTGGAGCAGCCTCACGTCTCATGTACAGGCACCCAAACTGCTTTCAAAATGGCCAAAACTGATTTAAGATAAACCTGGATGGACATAGTATCAGACTTAACTGATTTAGGTTAAATCGATCTATTGAACTTCTTTCCCAGATCCTCTCTAGATTCAAGTAAACTCACAGTCCCCCAACATCCCAGGATGCTTTGTACCTCCCCCACAGCCTCCCTCACAGAGTGTGTGGACTAACCTTGGCCTAAGCTATCTGCTTCAGCTTAGTAGGGAGGCGTGCTCTAATGCCCACCGGCTTCTGGACTGGGCCACTGCAGGCACGTGGCTCCATCTCCAGAATCAAAAGTGAAGTCTCTTCACTTGCTTATTGGTTCTATCTATGCAGCTTAGACTAACTGGTGAAGATTGATTCAATTCAGCCTCAGGCTTTTTGACTGTCTGTACTTAACCATCTTGTGTACGTGTGATTTATATCTCAATCAATTACCTGTTTCCACTCAATCATGACCCTTAGTAATAACGTTATGCCCTCCACTGATCCAGTTCTGGAGGATGCAAGATACCTGTAGGCCCAACTGTATTCCTCCTCCTCTCACCAATCCCACATTATACTTTTTTTTAAAGGTTTAGAATGTCCTTATTTTGAAACCTCTAAAATATAAAATCAAATAAACAACTTTTTGAGCAGAAAATTTTTTGTACAACTAGGGCAGCATCCTGCCAGCTCAACAGTTACCTGCATTTAATGTGACAGCATAGGGCATGTTGAGGAACTATACTGATTAGAAGATGCTAGGCAGAAGACAGGGCAGGGTGACAGACCAACTTCAAACTAACACAGCTAACTACCTCTTTCTTCCCAGAGAAAATGCCAAGCATTGGCACTGCAATGAATTATTTACACAAAGTAAATTAAGGTAACAGTTACCAATGTGCAGTAATGCCTCTTACCACTTTCTGCTGGGTACTATCAGTAGCAATTACAAAGGTGCTGACAGACTTTCATAACATGAAATTAAAATTTGTATGTAGTCACAAGAAAGCTTCATGCCATGATAACTTTGAACATAAAGTATCTCACTCCAACATGTCTGGCAAAGATTAAACAATATTCCAAAGCCACATCTCAGTGAGCTTAAATAGTGAACTCAAGCCCTCAATACACAAAGTCAAAGCCCTAAAATTGAGTATATACCAATGAGACAAAAATGTTTTCTTCCTTCTCTAGACACCTAGATTGTTATGTTTTATGGGAGTTCTTTAACTTATATTGCAATTAGTTAGTTCATTTTATATTTTTTACTCTTCTCTCTTTATTTAGTAAGTTTATATAGTTACTAAGCCCCAGTTACTATTTGAGAAACCAGCAATAATAGCATCCATTGTACCCTATCTTAAAAGTGAATTTGGAATATCATTCTTCCTTTGTTTTATCCCTGTCCCATTTTCTTGGGTATTGTTTGAGCAACCTAGTTCAGTTGTAATCAAAGACTGATATTTCCTTGTAGTTTTGTTGCCAGTGAATGCTGAAAGGACACAGCAGTTGCCTATTGACATGTACATGGTCATTTCTTTTCAGCTTGGCCATTTGTACAGCTTGGGGCTAACTACTGCTACTTTGGGGCCAAAACTTTGAGACCCAATCCCTATACTACTACTTTGTTAAATAACCGTTTAGGGATTTTTAAATAAATCTCTAAAGATTTCCTCATGGCAAGCTGTATTACTTCACATTTTGTGAAATATATATTTTTTTTTATTCAGCTTAATTGAAGGAGATATTGAATGCAGTGTGTGACATAACCTGACCCTAGATGCAGCCAGAGGGACCTTTGAGGCATATGCCCAGGGTGTTCCTACACCTTCAGGTGTTCCCTTCTTCCACAGACTCCTCCAAGCTATCTGCTGCTTGGCGACTGAGAACAGACTACATGTCAGAGGTCAGCTCCTTGGCATATGGTGCCTCAGCCTTACCTGTCTCATCCACAGCATGTCAGCACTTAACAGGGGGGAGTTCTGCTAGCTAGAAGAACCGCACTCTCGTCTAGTAATAATGCACTCAGAAATGACAAATTCCCCTTTCCAGAGAAGCAGCCTGCTGTCTGTATGGTTAAATACTCTGACATTATACTTACACTGACAATAATTTATAAAATATAATAAAATATTATAAAAACAAGAGCAAACATAAGAAATCAGTAACTGTATGTTGGGGTACAGACAGAGTTATAAGAACAGACAAACAAAAAAAATATCAAAACAATGTGATCTTATCCTGTGTGTTAAACCTGAGAATGCAGCTCCTATCTAGCTCAATGGCTTAGGAAGCAACTTCTGCCTCTGACGTTCCTGTCAGGGCCTCCTGCAAGGGCAGTTCACTGACTGAGGGCCTTAAGCTATTCCTTATGCCTGGGAACAAGCTAAACACAAAAACTTGCTCTCAAGGTGAAGTTAATTTTTGGTTTCCTATCTGACCATTTATACACAGCACCCCTTGGATTCTTGGGGAGTCCACACTGAATATAAATTCCTCCCCCATCTATGTTTACCAGACTACAAGTCTTTTCTGGTCTAATTCAGACCAGGAGAATATTTGAATACTTTTAGACACAAAGATTAATAATACAATGTCCTAAAGACATTGTCTCTTACTTAACTTCTCCATTGTGAAAAATGGCTTTCCCAAAATCTGGCTCAAGTGCCTCTACCTGTCCCAAGAGCCCTACTTGATAAGTAAATGAATCCCTGTCAGATGCTAAGTCTCAGTGATTACTTTTCTTCAGCCATTCTGGCTTTGAGGTGAACAAAACCCATCATTTCGCACTTGAAAGTCATAATCATGTTGGGCAATCCAACCCTATCATTCTAATATTATAAAAGCCTATAAGTCTGTCTGTCTGTAACACTTTATTCTCATGCTGATTGGCTGATAGAAACCGCCAATCAGAGTGCTCCAAGTGTGGGGGAGCACCCCCATGATTCCAAAGCCACGCATAGGACTGGACAGAGGGTGGGGGAGCCGAGGCCAGCAGTGCTGACCTCAGCTTGCATCCCCACTCCCTGCAAGTGGTGCTGAAGACCAGACAGGGGGTGGGGGAGCTGAGGCCAGCAGCGCTAGCCTTGGCTTCCCAACCCCACTCCCTGCAAGAGGCAGAACAGTGGCAACATGGGACATTAGGTGGTGGCACTCCATCCCAGCCCACTCCTCTACCCCCTGCCCCTGTCATTCTTGATGGGCAATTGGCTAATAATGTATAAAACTGCATTTTACATCAAATAGCACAATGCATATAAACGTAAGGATGATAAAGCCAAATACTGCTTGGTGCTACTTACCTGTAGTGACTATATATGTTGTATCAGTCAAACAAACTCAAGAAAGCATGCATGACACCCTACAAACACCTCAAATTATAGTGGGGGTGATGACACAGTGAACCTAACCTGTATACTTCTTTGCAAAGCTGAGTGATAAGACTTAAGTGAGGTAGTTAGCCATGTTAGTCTGAAGTTATGCAGGAGACAGAATAGGGATGCACCTTATAGACTAATTCAGAGATGCATACTCTTTTGTGAGCCTGAGCTCACTTCATCAGATGCTGAGAGAGGACATGAAGATGCAGTGAAAAGATAAGGACTTTGGATTTTTATGTGCCTTCGGGGGAATACTAGTTCCCAGCTGTCAGAGGTGGCAGAGTCAGCAGGAAGGCTGTTCTCTAACAAAACTGACAGGACTCTAAAGACTGTGCTGTAGCTATACAAAAGGTGCCCCTTTGGTGTCTATATTGGACAGATGAGGCTATCCTTCCATGTAAAAATGAATGAACACACATAGAATAATAGAATCATAGAAAATTAGGGTTGGAAGGGACTTCAGGAAGTCATCTAGTCCAACCCTTGCTCAAAGCAGGATCATCCCTAACTAGATCATGCCAGCCAGAGCTTTGTCGAGCCAAGACT